TCTTTAGGACCACTTCTTTTTGTCTCAAGCTCATCCTCTTGCCTTAGTTTATGGCATCATTAACCAAGTCAGTGTGCTGACACCAGCATTTGTAGTCCTTCATAATGGCTGGGAATCATTATTTTCTGATAACTCTGATCCAACTATTCCAGAAATGATTGTTTATAACTCAGGTCAGAGAATGTTTGCATTATCCCACACAAAATCACAAAGTATGCAGAGGGGGGACAAGTAATCTGTACAAAGTTTCTTTGTGCCATTTAACAATCTTAGGAACTCTAACATAACAGTAGCTGTTTATGTCAACTTTCAACTATGTAAGTTGATTCAAGTTTTATTGACAAAATAATAGCAGTAAGAAAGAAGTATTTGAACCCACTAAGTTAGTTAGCTGGAATAAATTGACACAACTGTAGGTTGGGGTGATAAAACTAATCTGGGGCAAGTAAATTTAAACACAATAATATTTTGTTGACGGCAAGTTACTTCTAGATCTAATGTTTTATCATATGAAAGCACAAAATCACCATAAAATGCCAAATGAAGCTATCATCTTCCTGAACCACTCTCTGTCTCTGCTAATGTGTATGCGTATTATCTCTGAAATTTATCTTCCGGCCCCCATTCAATAAGCAAAAAAATGTTCCCAGAAGATAGAGATATTAGAACATGTAAGGAGGGCCTGCTTGGGTCCAAATTTTGATTGATTGAAAATTCAAAGAAGTTGACACTTGAAGCTATCATAATTCTTTCAATTTTTTTTAATATTTATCATAATTATATTACTCCTTTGTCTCAAATATAAAAAAAAAAATCGCAATTATGTTACTATCTTATTTAGCAAATGTTTTTTTAAAATGACCCTTTAAATCAGTACTTGTCAAGTATAAATTTGGTCATTAAAAATAACTGCTTTATTTGGGAATAATTTCATTAAATAGGTGAAAATTATTAAGATTTGTTTGTATTTTGGATTAACGTACAATTTTTTTTTATACTTTTATATTTAAGATTAGAGTGAATATAATTTTTTGGTACAATTTATTTAGCCAACAAATAATAAATATTACAAATTAATTAGATAAATTAGTTTTCTTCCTACAAAGATAGAAGATGATTGGATAGAAATTAGTACGACAAGCTCATAATATTATTAATTAAATCAATTAACTTTTAATTTATATTAATAAATTTTATTATATATCATAGAAATTTTGAATTTTGAAATATAAAATAATAAGTTAATTAAATTTTCTATTATTTAAACAAAATTAAGTATAAATTATTTAATGATAGCATCTTGACCACATGTTTGTATATTTTTTTATTGGGTTCACGTATGAATTAATAATTTAAGATAACTAGTCAACAAACTTACCCCGGGTGGGTCCTCCATTTCAAGCCCAAAGTTTCATTGGGCTTCGCCTCCGTTTATCAATCCCAACTCTGGTCATCATCGTAACATTAACAGAACGTATCTCCCTTATCAATTATGGCATAACATTTCAATGAAAATTAAATTTTATATAAAATTATTAATGATAAATATTTGATAAAAGTTACATCGATAAAATGTTATATATAAAGAAATAGTATGAAATGATTTTATATTAAAAGTTTAAACTATTTTGTAAGAAAAATTAATTTAATAAAAAAATTAAATAGATACATGGTTTATAGTAATAATAATAAAACAGTATTTTTAATATATGAATAATAAAAAAATTATGATTTATACTTATATGTATCATTTAAATATTATGTACTTAAAATATACATTTATTGTTTTCTTCGTCCATCAAAATAATAATAATGAACCAGAAACAAATAAAAATACGCATAATGAAGTTTGATGAATACATTAATGACAGGTTGACTTTCTCATCGGTACAAGGAAGAAATTCTGACTCAAAAATTATCCAACCATATAAACTCAAATTACTTAAACCCAAATTTCTCTTCTAAATCAACTCTAATCTATCTTCTTAATAAAGAAAACAGCTCATCCAAACGAAACATAAAAACAAACTAGGATTTTTCTTTGGTGTTGGGAAAAGAATCGAATTTTGATGCTCAGGCTGATCGCAGTTATGGCTTGCTACAGTATGAATATTGCTTGTTATGTTTCATTTCCCATGCATGTGAAATTGGGGTCAACACAATGCAGAGTTTACATAAGAATGACATAATGGTGATGAAACAGTTGGCTCCAACCATCATTCAACGTCAAAAGAACAATATTGCAGAATTCAAGACCAGACCCATCTGAAAGTGTTGCATGGTAATCAGATGTAAGTCCCGAATAGGATCACCTACATGTTGTAGCTCAATTTCATAACAAGAAAATAATTAAATATGCAACTCCTAAGACTCATACTTTCAACTTAATTTCTGATTATCCTGCAACCGTCACTGAAGCCTGCGCTCACCACTTGATGATGTAACTTTTGGTTGACACAACACAATTTATATGATAGAGATGCTCTGAACTCCTGGTCTACGCGTATAATCGTTTGGTTTGGGACCTTATCATTAAATTCATCTCTTATTACTAGTATTCACTTAGATATATGTTTAGTTTATTTATGCAATATAATTTCTCCCCTCTTTGTGAAGGACGAGTTATGAAATCGGTAGTGTTTCTGGAAGCTCTTAAATATTCGATGAGGTTATTTGACGCATGTTAGTTTAGTGGATTTTGCTCTTCGTTTTGGGGAGCTTGCTTTGTGGTTGGTGTTGTGCCATATCATATGGTTTCTTTGAAAATTTGGAGCTTTTCTGGGTTGTACATACTTCACTTCATTGTGGTGGATACTAACTTTCAATACTATTAGTGGTATTTATGTTTTGATTTTATTTTAGTTCCTATCAATTTTTTTTATATTTAGTTTAGTCATTAATGACATCCTATTAACTGTATATATTTCGATGATATCAGGTTTTAAAAAAAGTGTTAAGCATAGAAATTAAAAACAAAAAAATTAAGATGAACGAAAATTAAATAAAATGTACACTAGGGACTAAAACTAAAACACATAATATTTTGAGAATTAAAAATATAATTAAATCTTATATGTTTTCTTTTTCTTTTAGAAAATTGCATTTATCTCTCCTAAAATTATTTTAAATGACATTCACATCTTTAAAAAAAAAACACGTCTCCTTCTGTTTATAATAAATATCACTTACCTTTCTTCATATCTTAATAAATGACATATGTATTTTTTTTAATATCATATTGACTAAAATTTAAATAAAAAATATTTGACATAAGTAAAAATTTTACAAATGAAACAGCAAATGTTTACTTAATTATATTAAAAACAAGAAGGAATATTATTTATTAAAACATGAAAAAAATATTTAAAAATTACAAAAATGTGGGTATCTTTTTAAAATATAAAAGAGTTAAGTATTTATTTTAAAACTAAATATGAGTCTCATTAATTCAATATAAAGTGAGAGAAGATAATTACAAATTTCTCTCTTTCTATTGCACTTTCAGTCTCAATGTGATATCTTCGTTTCGTTCATGGTGCAGGTATCGGAAAAGTGTTGGATCGTTGAAATTGTTGCACCGAGTGACCGGGAAAAACAGTCCATGAAAAGCGTCATAAAGACGGAGTAAAACTTGGGTTTTAGGAGACATCGTGTCCTGTGTACCTGGCTAGGGTTCATTTTAGTATTCATTTTATAGTACAAGTAACAAGTAGTGTAAACAAATGGTCATGAAAATGTGGAACAAAACCTATTTTCATATCATAGACCAGATCTATGTGCATGTAATACCAGATACAACCTATATATTTTACCTAATCCTCTGTTTCGAAATATAAAATAATTATCAAACCACTATATATTTTTAAGCAAGCTAGAACTAGCTTTGAAGTTTAAATAATTTTTTCTTTTAAAACAAATTAATAACGAGGACATTTACAAAGTTAATTAAATTATTTGTTTTTATTGATATGCGATTATGTTAGAAGTGTCTTATATTATATTAAAAAAGAGAAGAAAATGCTTAATTATCAGTACATATTATATTTTTTTTGTGATGATTAAATCAATAAATTGTTAATAAGTATTTTTGTGGGAAATCAACCTACATCCCTTGAATTTTCCTGTTTTGTACACTAATTATACCTATTAATGGATAATTCAATAAGGATAATATATATTGTTTTTCATTAAATTGAGTGACTCATCGATTAAACAATATTGATGTTCCATTTTAAATCATGTGTGGCAGACAAATTATTGATTCTGAGACCCAATGATGTTCATATGTATTTTGCTTGGATTTGATTTATTTACAAAAAAATTGAATTAATAAATTTTGTTTTGTATGTCTCTAGACAAAGATAAGACTCTTTTTACAACCACATAAATTCGAACCTGTTAAAGATGTAAAAATATTGTGAAAGATTATTTGTAAACTTTGAAATTTCTGATATATATATTATGTGTGTGTTGAATTGTTTTTGTTTATAATTGTAGTTTTAGAAATTTTTATATGATTGCAGCAGTTTTAGGTCTTAGACCCTCGGCTACGTGGGTAAGATAAAATCAGATTCATTGAACCTGGATTTACGTGACGTAGTATGCAAAACTACTGAAAGAAACAATAATAACATGGGTAGCTAGTATAGATGGCATTCTGCACCGAATGGTTCTGAACGGATCCATTCTAATCTTAAAAGTTCCGGTGTGATTAATTGTCTTGATCTCGCCATTTATATTTTAACATTTTGGTGTAGATATATTGAAGGATTATAACGTCAAAAAATAATGTTCTTCATAGACTAGTCAATCATGCAAGAAGATTTTGGTGAAAATGATATATGAAGTGGCCTATGTTAGTTCCTCTCTTTCTTTCTCTCTTGGAGTTTCAGACAAAAGTACAAAATTCACATCCTAATATGACGCAGTCACTTTCTGTTTTCCTGTGAACCTACGGAAACCATAGCTTCCGCACTTTTCTGTACATAACCAAACCAACCATGCAGAAATCGTACACTTCAACACCTACTACCAAGTACCACCTCATATGTCTGTCATCTTATCTTATCTTATCTTACACAACCTCTCCTTCTCTCCCTCTTCTTCTTCTTCTCCTCACCCTATTTAGTTTAGATCTCTGATTCTCACTCTCTCGAGGTTATTATAATTATGACTGAATGTGCTTTTTCAAAGCAATCATTCTCTCTAATCTATATCCCTACCTTCTCAAGGTTTTATATATTATAACCGTGCGTCTGCATTGTTCTTTCAATCAGTTTCTTCAGACATTTTAATGAATACTCGCTTTTTCAGTGGAATATATAACTGTAATTGTTTAATTTTTTGTTCAACAGAAAAGATACAAGGATAAGGGATTGAAAGAGAGAAAATAAAATGTAATATAAAAATGAAATAATTCTTAAGATTGTTTATGGTCGTGTACCCGTGTATCGTTTCTTTCTTGTCTTATTCTTCTCTGTTCAAGTCTCAACTCTCAACCGCTGGAGCACTGTGTTTCGTTCATGAATCGCATTTCCGAATCATTTGCTGTGATCATCATCTTTGTTTCTCCCCTGGTATGTTATTTGTGTCTCCTTGGTCATTTGTACCAGCATGATTTCCTTTGTTTTTGTTTCATAAATCACTACAAAAGACTTGCACTATTCCATGTTGTTTTTGCATGATACTCTTCCATATGCCCTTTCTGTAATAGCATAAATCAAGAACTTTTGCCCTTATATTATATCATAACTTTGTTTCCTCTTCCTGTACGAATCGTTATCTCCATTTGGGACATTTGAAGGTGATTAAAGGTGAAACAACCATTCAAAGCCGAAGGATTTAATTTTTTACATAAAAAAGAGGAACAAGTCAGAAATTATTTGAAAAATAATTAACTGATATTCAGTGGAAGCAAGAGCTATTATGTATTTATTCAGTATCAAATCTCTCTTTTGGATTTTGTCACATTGTATACAATTCCCACCATATAGCAAAAATGTGTACATTGATTTATTTTATTAGACGTCAACGTGAAAATTATTTACCTTTTCTTTTCTCTTTTTGTGAGTTTTCATTTCGAAAATTCCTTTATCTTCTTATGGTGACATAAATTATTTGCGTTGAAATTTAGTCATTTATTCTGAACGAGGCATAAACGTGGTCTCCGGTGCTGACGAGATAATAACTACTATAAAATTGCATTGGAGTCTAGAGTTCTTGGTAAGTCCTCTCTGAAATCCTTCTCTGTGATGTCTAAACATTTTTTTTTCTTTTCTTCTACTTTGCTATAGAACGTTGTGACTTAAAGATTTAATTAATCTTTTCTATAATCTTAATGATCCTTTCGTTATTTTTATTTGGCTGCAACTCCATTATTTACATTTTGCTTGAGTTTTCTTTTAAATGAGAAAGGAAAAATAAAAAAGTCAAACAAAAACTAATGACCTTCCGTTAAAAGAGAATTTGCAAATCATAATGCACGAATTAAAAGTAGAAACATGAAGTGTAAAGCGTATTTGTTTTCATATGTAACTTTTTTTTTTGTATTATTATTATTATAGGTTACGATTTACAGTATGTGTTAAGTTTAAATTTTAGTTTTATAAATTTACATGTATTATTTTTCTTTTTATTAATGTTGCTTGGTATATTGTATTATTATATATAAAAGTCATAATAATACTATTTTATTAACACGGTTTGATGTCTTTGAACCTTTGATTATTAACATATGATTTTGTCGATTTGGTGATTAGGTCGATTCTCAAAAACTTTATGTAGACGTAGAAAATATTTACAAACGACTCTTGAGACACATTCCTGAACAAATATTTAGAAAAAAAGGTACAATCCTATTTCCTCGTATAAGTTAAACTTATATAAAATATTATATTTTAGCCCTTAATAAAAATATGAACAAATCAATTCATATAGATAAAATAATTACTTATTTGTCTAATATTTATCATACATAACTTTTGATAAACTAGATAAAAAATAAGGACAAATTTAGAATACTAAATCATTTTTTTTTTCATTCAAGATAAAAAATAACAATGAAGAATTTGGGAGAAGGGGAAATGAATTAAAATAGGTATACCACGGTATGGTTTGAATGAGAAAAATAAAGGAAGAGGAAAAATTAGGACGGGACTCATGTTGTTTATTCACCCGGAACATCATATAAACATAAGATTGTATTAAATACTAATAAAAATTGATAATATATTTAAACTAATTGCACATATTGATTTGAAATTACGCCGAAGAGTCAAAATATTATTTAGTATAAATACTGTTAAACCAAATAACTTCTTCATTCAAAACAATAAAAAATTAGTCATGATTAAATAGAGAAGAGGAAAATAAAAAAAAAGTTGAAAAAAAGAAAAAGGTAAGAAATAATGGAAAAATATGCTGAAAGTTGTGTAGTTTAATTAATACAATATAAAACATAGACAATAAATTAACTAAAATGTAAGAAACAGTTGAATGAGGTTGACTAATTTTAAAACCCTTTTTAATTAAACTAATAAAATTAACTCATGTTTTTACTAAACAATCCCTTCCCCATTGTTAGGTGGACGGGAAAATAGGTGCATGAAATAAATAGAATAAAACAAATAAAGGCCAAAAATCATATTTATTATGTATATAGAGTCAAAACGTGGAAGTTGAAAAAGCTTGAGAAAGCGACAGTGAAGTGATGATAAAATAGGAGTCGGAGAGTATTAGGGTTGTAATGATTACTGTGGCAATTGGTACCTCCCAATATCACGGTGCCATAATAATGCATCCATTTGGGGTTTATAATATTCACGTAAATCAATTTTCTCTTACACTTTACTGTAAAAAAACAAGAGTTGTTAAGTACAAGATTCACTCAACAACTATGACGGTGACTTTGCATGAGGTGAAAGAGGAGGAGAAAGAAAGAAATAAATAAAAGACAAGGAAAGTGAAAAAGAAGAAAATAGTAAAAATGAAAAAGCATGACTCATGCTATATTTTCCACATAAATGACTGAAGACAAACCTAAAAAAAAAAGAGATATTTTATTATATTCTATAAAATATTTATCATTTCATACTTTTTCAAGTATACTTTTTATGATTAAATCATTCTTAACTATGGTTATCGTGATTATATATAATTATTATGAAATCTGATTTTATTTATTTATGAAATTTAAATATAAAATAATAAATAAAAAGTAAAATTAAATAAAATAAATATTATAATGAAAATATTTTCAAGTTATTCATTTTAATTTCTCTTCAAAATAACCTTTATTTCTATTTTTTTTCTTTCTATTTTTCCCTGACAAATATAAGAATAATATTTTTCTAAACATAACATGTTTGTTAAAACATGATTGGATAAGATACAAATTTCTAATCCTAAGTTAAATCAGAGTTACTTAGGTAGTCATTCTATTCTCAAAATCAAGGATATGTTTAAAAGAGCTAATACGTAAGGATCTTTAAAAAAATAAAAAATAAAAATAATTTATATGTAAATTAATCAACTTAAAGAAAATATATATAATTTTTTTACAGATTACTTCTTAAACTAATTTTAACTTAATTTTTTGTTCTCTTTTATAAACTAAAAAAAAAAACTTATATTGTTTAGCTTGAAACCTACTTTTTATTCATTCGGGGGCCAATTACGTACTTTAAGTTCACTAAAAATATTGCTTGATGCATAATATTAACTTATTAAACATAACTGGATATTTATTCTTAATGTTAATTAGGTCCCTCATCCTACGTTTTATGACTCCCCTTCCAATAAAAAAAGTCTATGGGTCACTTACAATTTTATTATGACAATTTAACAAGCAATTTTACATCTTAAAAGTTCTGAAGAAAAAAGCTTCAACTAAGTTAATTATTTAAAACTTATTAGGTTAAATTTTATTAATTTAAAAAGTGCCTCATTTAAAGTTCATTTAATTGTTCGGCTAAGCCTAAATGCAGTTGGTAAAGTTAGTAATTTATCACTTAAATGAAAACTTATTAAACTTTGTTCACTTTTAAATAGTAAGAAATTGAATTTTAAGGGCTGAAATCATAAATTGTGACCATCATGATTCTTAATCTATTAAGATATACATGCATGCATCTGTAAAAACAATATATATATATATATATATATACCCTTCTCCTTAATCACAATTTAAAGTTACAGATGTACGGCAATTTACCCTGCTTAAAAGGAGGTTTTATTTCAGCCTACAAGTAACTTTTCTTTATATTTTTAGCATGTATATGGGAAAAAATTGACAAGTGTGTAAATAACTTGTCTTGAAAATTCAATATACGAATATACCTAATTAATGACTAATATATATAAAAAACTATTTCCAAAAAAATTTAAAATTATTTAAATGCTTGATCGGATATATATCATATGCATTATATTTTGACTGTTCTTGTCTATGCGATTGATTGTATCGGCGTCATAACTTCATTTTTAGTAACTTGAAGTTAATATATTCATCATGATTAACCTTCCAACGTGATTTCCTACATAAAAAAATGAATTTATTTCAATTCAATCCTGCAAAATCAATTTACAATATAAGATTCAAATCTATTTATATATTATATTTTGATAATTTATATATCTAATAGTGGAATCTCCATATATTAAAACTTTGAAAAATTGAAATCTATTGTTGTTAATTACTTCCATATAATAATTAATGTTGTGTAAGGTAATTAATGAGTAAGAGTTAATAGCTCTATTTGAAGGTTGGCTAATAAAGATTGTGAAGAGAAATATGGCATGGGAAGTTGGCGGCAAGGGCCTTTTGGCCCTATTTAATTTGTTCTAGGTATTAAAAGCTAGGCAAGTGCTAGCTCTAGTCTCTTTCTTTGTGGCAGTTGCAATGTGCTATAAGACATGTCATTTGGATGAAGAGGGCTAACTTTATTGATGTGAGACATCACCATAATTGTGCTTAAACCTTTCCAAAATATATTGTCGGCATGATTTTTTCTTACAGAAAAGGATACACCATCATCTATACTTTTTCCTTGCTTCCTATCAGTCCTTGTAAGTGCTCACTACTTCCTGCACATTTTTATTATTTTTCTTCATTATATATCATTCTTCTTTATTGCTGCCTTCATACCAGCTTTATTAACCAAATGCAGTAGGTTTTTCTTCCACCCCTTCCTCCATTGTATAACATGTTGTATGCATGTTATTGCATATCTATGTCACATACCAAATTTGTTAACTGAGATCAAGAAATTAATTATGAAGACACTGTCTTTGTCAAGTATGTAACTAAGAGTCAATCCGGATTTGACAACCATTTTAATTTATAAGATTGAGATAAAAAGAATGTTTAAATTAGGATTTGACTAATTATCTTGTTATTCGTAAGAATGAGAGTAGGTAGAGTACAGTAAATTGAGTCGAGCCTAATTTTGGTTTAACTTGACAAATTTTAGTGTAGCTTCCACTCTTTAGAGGATAAGGATAAGTAAGTCTTATTTTTGTTTTCTAAGGTTGAAGTTCACTTTTATTGTACAAAAGAATATTACAATGAATTTATAGGTCTGAATTACATATAGTGATCAAAGACTACATATTTATTTTATTTGAATGTATGAACAAGCCTCTCTTGTCTATGATTTATTTGCATCTTGATTGATAAAGTTGTTTTATTTTTATTTTTTTTATCGGCAACAAAGAATAAAATTAATAGAAGTACAAAGGGTACTTCAACCGAAATACAACTAAAAAAAGCTAGAATAACAAAATAAAACACATCCTACTGGATCACAAGAACGAAGGTTCAAAGATACTGTAATTAAAATAGTATATCCACATTTCATCCTAAACTCACATTATAATTAACTCGTAAGCCTATTGAGTTTTTTTTTGGAGAGATTATAAAATTAATATTCAGTTTGAGACTTAACTAAAAGTTTTTAGTGTCTCCTTTTTACCCCACAAAAAGACCACATTTTCATTAAAAAAAAAATTTATACTCCACTATAACAATTTCCCAGAATATCTCTTCGAAAGACTGTTTTGACCAGCAGACTAGAAATACATTCATCTGGAGGTACAACTAGTTGCACGTCAAAATCTTATAGCAAAATATGGAAGTGTCGTTTTGTTTTTTGTTTTACAAAATTAATAGGACGTTGATGGTTGTACTTCATTTCCTTTCGTGGTGTTCTCCTCTTGTGTCATGCTTACCCCTAATTGCACAAGGTTATATTACTAGTTTTGCTCTTCAAATTAGTTTCTAGAATTTGTTTCCGCAATCGACCATTTACTAAATATAAACTTTGTTTGAAAGGAAAAAGAAAAAAAAAACTAACACGAGGTATAGCTAAGTAGTTAACCGCATCTGATTTTACTATGGTTGGATCTTTTGGTTGTATGAAACATTTAGACCGTGATAGTACGAATTGTTGCTTGGGCTTGGGAAAGCAATGGATAGGGTAGGTAAATTTGAACCACTTCACCCAGCATCTGTCCTTCGAAGAGTGGGTTAGTTAATGCTTGACTGTGTTTTGGGGACCAACTTTGGGACAAATTTATACTGTGGAAAATGATGCATGAATACATATTTGTACACATTTGAGTGGAAAAAGAAGAGGAAAAAAAAGGTAAATATAATAATAGGTTTAAGAAATTGTTTAGAGTTCAAACTAGACCATTATTTGTTATGTCTTATTTTTCCCTAACCTTTCTCTCTAATTTATGGATGATGTTTTTTATCTTATTAATTGTCTTGCCTTGCCCACGTAGTCCATTTTATTTTCCGTAGTTTATCATCATGTTTTTACACTTTTTTTTTTCTTTTAAGTTATACCGATGTTACTCCTTAGAAATATAGATTGCTGTCAATTATGAGAGTATGGTTTTTCTTTTTATTGATTTGATACCTGAATTTATTAGGTTAAATCCGCCTATATATAATTAAAATATAATTTGATTTATAATAATATTATTTTATTCCTTGATCATAAAAAGTAATATCATGAAATGTCCATAATTGTTGTATGCAAATCAATTTTTACACTTTTCTTCGCACTTTTATAGAGAAAGCCGAATGAAGTGGGATCCATGTTTTTTCTTTATTTTCACTCAACCAACTACCCTCTTCCACTTATTTCTCTTCTATTCAATTCTCTCCCCCATCCCATTTTACCATGACAAACACAAGCTTTCAATTCAAGTGGCGAGTTTCAAAATTATCAATACCAGCATTGAAGCCCGTCATTTCACACTCACACGCTCGCATGCACATAACTTGTTAACTTATTGGTGTTTGAAAATGAAAATAGTAAAAAAACTAAATAAAAATCAATACAAAGTTTTCCGAGGGTGGATATGATTTCTTTAACTAGATCGTGAGTGTTTGTCAGTAGAATACGAGAACGGACGAACCAATTGAATCTATGTGGGGTTGGAGATAAGGTGACTAAAGAAATTTCCTTTTGGAAACGGGGCATCCATGGGGAAAAAAAATTAAGCTTGGATTTGCACTTCCAATTCTGGAGCAAGAAATTGAAGGAATTCAAGAGGGACTGTGCATAAGACGTTTGAAGGTTAGGGCATTTATATGCTTTAGGTTAAGTTTTGAATTTCTTTGATATACCTTTCTTTTATGTTTTTCAATTTCGAATGATAATTTTTATATATTTAAAAGGTTTAAAGAAAATTTATACACATATATTTTTTAATTCATATAGACATTATATATTGGATTTAAGGTCTTAGAAAATGTATATATTACAACATATTTTCTATAGTTATTGAATAAGTAAACCATTGATGGTACATAAAATGATTATTGTTCTCTGAAAGAAAGGGCACTTGGTTGTAGTGGGTGTTACAGCTGGGAGGGCCTGGATTAAGACGACGAGACATATAGGAAGGTACATTAGAGACGTAGTGAAATATACATATTTTGGGGAAAAAATGAAGCCATATTGGTGCTAAGAGTTCTCTTGGTCAATATTTGCGTAACACGAGTTCACTAGTGTCGTACCAGGGAACTCACTCTGCTGTTACAGCATTTATATCTCATTTTTCCTGTCAAAATCATGCAGTGTTGAACATGACAGATCCTTAGGAACTCTTGAACTAAAGCTCACAACGATTAAACCATATATCTCCACATAATGTATATCAAGTTCCTCGTTCTGTAAAGAATAAATGTAATATTTTGAAAACCTGCTATATGTGAACGTTCCTTGTTATTTTCTGATTTATTAGTTCTTTTAGACCAAACTAGTATTATATTTATTTTATTATTTTGAACTAAAAGAATATATAGTCGTATATATTGTACAATAATACCTGAAATATCCAAAGGCTTTATCGATGAAAAAAGTTCTTTAGAACATAATCTTTGAATTGTTTCTTTTGTCTGGTTCCTGTCATTAGTTGGCATTCATTCATCCGTTATAAATAAATACATATGCACGAAGGACCCAAAAAATAAAGTATGAAAAGTGTCTTTCTAAGTAACCTTAAGACACAACTAAGTTCCAAAAGTAGGGGGAATATACAACTAGGTGTGCACTAGAAATAGAACTCAACTACTGCCACATGTTACGTAACTGTGGCAACCAAAAAAAAAAAACAATTGAATGGTTTAGTACAATTAGCCCATGATTAGACAAAATTCTTTACTGAAACTTTTATTTAACTACAGTAGTATCCCCATGCTTCTCACACCAACAATAATAGAGTTAAACTTCTGGAATTTCAGTAATATGACAATTTGATGTCAAATGTGTTTTGTAACTTATTAAGCATGATAAATTATATAAAAAATAATGATAATTTTAGCTCTTTTGCGGGGTATAGTATTGCAATCTTAATTGTTATGTAGTGTTTGGCATGCTGTTGATATGAAATAGAATGGTTGTATATTGTGTAATTTTTAAATCTTTCTGTCTAGTTGTTTTGTTTTTCAAATACAATCTATATTAATAAAAAGATAAGCATTGGATATATACCAAGTATTCTTTTTTTTTTTTTTTATGAAATTGAATATATTAATTGTTTGTATAGTTAATGCCGGTTTATTTATATTTTTGTCTATGCAACTAATGTGAGAGGTCAAGAATTGAAATAAAAAAGTGAGATAACTTGCAATAGCACTTAAAAAGTAATTAATGGTTACAGTTAAGCTTTATTTTGTCTAAACATGTCTTAACAAAACACTGTTTATTATTTTAGCCCTAGACGCAGAATATTGTGGCAAGTTTTAATCAATACAAAACTTTAAAGTGTAAAATGTTAGAACTAAATGCATAACCTATGTCAGTAAAAAAAATTCTTACCCTATGAAACAGTTCAACTGAATATTAATATAACACAATGCTTTTTGTAGTTAAACATCAAGGTGTTCCATGACTATTACTAATAATAAAATAAACCCCTTTTTTCATCAAATAAAGAATGTTTCGGAGTTGAATTTTGGGGATGGAAATACAAAAGTTCCTTTTCATAAATATCCACCTTAACAATTTATTAAATAGAACAATTTGTCTTTTATTCTCTTTTCCTTCTAAAATTTGACACTTGAACATATTAGACTCTATTAAATTTAACCATTGTCTTATTGTAAAGGACAAAAGAGGAACTGATTTTGTGAAATGCTTGTAGCTCTCCGTCAATGCCAAAACAATGTGCAGAAACCAGACATCAATATTCAGACCCGTTGCATCCCTTTGGTATCTTTCTTTTACTGTATATTAAGTCTGGAGTTAAAACCCTTTGATCTTGGTAGTTTTTAATCTTTAACAAGAGTTCTTTTAGAAAAAATAGCTGTAAGAGTTATAAACGTTTTTAATTTTTATTGTTGTATTTAAGGTTTGACAGAAAAGTCGTTCAAGTCACAAATCAACTTGTCACGAGTCACAGTCTGTGCAGTAATGTGTATATATAGCAGTAAATGATCATAGGAATCAACACAGACAACTTTATTTATGTATCAACCTTATTCTTTTCTTTATCAGTAAAATCAACCTGATTCGCTGTTTTTAAGTTCAACTCAAAACCTTGACCATTAGTTTATACAGGTTTAGAAATGAGATATATGATATAAAACGATGAAATATATAGTGGGAAAGTAAGGATATATGTCATTAAATTAATTCAAATAAAGATTAAATATATTATTGTTTTTCATTCATCTTCTTATTTTCAAGGGAGTTAAATTTCATATGGGAAATGCATAGAAAAAAGATGGGATATGAAAACTGAGGCTACCACTTGCAGGATGGGTAGCAACCTTGCCATTGATCAAGACTACAAGAAACCCTACGTTAGCAGAACAAGAGAAAACATGCACTAAGATAACAAGCCTCTACAAAAAATTCGAATCTAAGAATAGTGAATAGGTCAGTAGGAATACATATTGGTTTAACCCTTGGTATACTTCCATTTTCATAATTCCTTACATAAATAGGGTCTGTGATCGTAGAGCCCTGCATTGAATATGACATCAAAATTATGTAAAATTCCAAATTCAAGTCAAAATGGAGAAGCAAGCTCAGATTGAACATATACACCCAACATTCTGTGTGCTTACTTATGATCATAGAACAGCATCACATTATCTGTTTTTTTTTTTTTTTACCCATAAAACCAGCTCATTTAGTTTTAGGTTCAAGAAGATATTATTCTATATATATGTAGAATCGATTTTCTTGTCAACAACTTGCTACATAATCAACCTCTGAACAGCTAGGTTTGTTAACCCTGTAACCTCTCACAGTTAAAGCTGTAGAACAACAAAGAAAGATATATATAAAACAACAATAATATGATGTATAATATACCAGTTTATAGGAAGGTGTAGAATTATAATTACTTGGGATTTCAACCCACCTGGGCGCATAGCTTCAAGTGATTATGTGAGTATGTCACTTAGATAGATGTCATAAGTTCAAAAACTGGTAACAAGTCAGATACATGAAAACAATATTTGCACAGGATATATCAAAAGCTTAAGAAACTGTAAAAGATCATTAGGTCATCAAATATATTACTCCATCAGACTTCTAAGAAATTATTTATGTTCGCATTACTGGTATTAAACATTCCTGGTCCATCAGAAGATCAGTAATCTGCTGATCCAAGTTTTATATCTTGTAGAATCCAATATAAAGAAGTATATAATTGAAACAGAAACTGCATACAGTACAAGTGAAATTGTCGTTGTGATACGGATTTGTACATGGTAATAATGTATTCGTAAGCCCTAAGCATATCATTTTGTTCTTGTTCAGAAATTTAATAGCAAACATTGTTACCAAAATATGGAAGGCCGTATGAAAACATCTTGCTTGGTAGTCCGAAGGATTGTAGCCATTTACCTACCATCTCTGGAAAGAGATCAACAGATCCATCCCTTTTAATAAGAGAAACTTTGCAAGGAAAAAAATGTGGATGAAGTTATGCATTATAGTCATCATCAGAAGGCTAAAAGTTCAAGAATGAATGAATATTTCAATAATGCTTGGCATGCTACATTGACATATAATTAGTACCCAGTGTTCCTTCCCCATAGTTTCGCATTCAGATATTTAAGGGTTAAACATAAACTTTTCAATAGTTGTTTACCAAATTAAAAAAAAAAAGTTAATATTCTTTACTGTGGTTATAAAATTAACGTGTTGCACACCAAACCTTCAGTTATGTTCATCGAGTTTGCTTCATAGAAACAAAATAGGAAGTTTTTAACTTGAAATTTCCACTGAGAAATTAAATTCATTATAAAACAAAACAACCCACCTAGTGATATTCTCTGTATGATTGTTCACAGAGCTTTTGTGAAATACGTAGTTGACTTCTATTTCATCCATGCTTGAATTCGGAAAGCTGAACGAAATAATATAAATTAGCAAATCCCCAACATCTATAAGGCTAACTGCAGACAAAAGCTGAAATTTTGTAGTTTTTTCCTGATTCTTGTAAACCCTTTCGCCCAAAGTACATCATTTCTTTTCACCATTAAGGACTAACCAATTACATAAATAAAATACTAAAGCATAAAGCTGCTAGCGAGTGACTTCATGACTTTTGATAATACTTGTTCAATCAAACTTTAAATATTGGACAGAAATAATACACGCAGGACGCAGCAACCTTTATGCGAACTTTCACTTGCCATTGGCTGATTATCAGCAAGAATCAGTACAAACATTGTAAAATGGGAATATAGGGCAGAAAAAAGTTGCTGATAGAGAGAAGAAACACAGAACTTTGAGATGATGATTACAAGGCAAAGCACACTCGAGGATTTCATTCTGATCAGATTTTACCGAAAACTAGCGCAGTTGTGTCGACTCCGATTGATGCACTCCTCCCAAGAATTTCCAAAGGTTTGAATGAAGCTCTACAAATCTGGACGCAAAATCACTAAACTTCATCACAAGTTCAAAAGCTGAAGCAGTGATTTTAGAAGAAGAATTAAAAATTTAAAACTTACCACGGGTTCATGAAACACGTAGATAGGTTCATGGTGCCTATTCCACAAAAGTTGGAGCGTCCACTAACGGCCCCATTACTGTCCCAGTCTGGAGAGGAATAGGGTAACAAGGGGCACACAGTGTTGTTGAAAGTTGCATCCCTAGGGATCACAAGGTTTTGGCTTTGGTTTTGGTGATGAGAAGCCATCATAGATGACTGCTTCATGTTCCTCTTTATCATAATAGATTCTTCAATGACGTCAAATCCATCTCTCGGTGCTTCACTATGAATGAGATAAGGGTTATAAGGCTGAACCCATCTCGCGCAAGCTTCTGGTTCAGGTTGAATGGATGACCTCAATTGGTGCAGCATTTGAGTGTTTCCAGTTGCAGGGCATCTTTCATCGAAGTCTTGCTGCACCCTTCTATTGCTACACATCTTGTAACAAGTCCTTTCTCTTGCTCTTGCCCTTGCCCTTTCCCTTGACTCCTTTTTGGTCTGAACGCAAACATCATCCTTCTGTGCCCATTTTGACTTCCTCCCTTTAGAACCATCACCCCCACTACCCGCCAATGATTTATTGTTATTTGAATCCACAGAAGCGTCGCGGGAACACTTGTCACCCCCACTGATACTGCCGCTATGCTTACTTTGGGCTAGTTCTTTGATCGCATTCTCTGACTTTGTGAAAAGCCACTCAAGGGTGTTACTTGGTTTGTCAAACTCTAACATGTCCTGAAGATCAAAGAACTTGCGGGCTATTTCGCTTGATAATCTCACCCTGCGGTCTCTCAAACCCTGAGATGTGTGAATCTTACTATGCCTGTCTTTCTTGGCTATGGCTGGTTTCTGGGTCAGAAAATTGGAAATGCCACCATAGTGGGAACCGTAGTTAGTGTTTGCATCCTGTTCAAGCATGGCAGTACAGTCAGCAACTGCAAAATTGGCAACAGTTTCTTCAGGGAATGGAGGATCATGAGTGGTGGGTATGAAGGGAACAAGAAGAGGGTCATCAAGAAGGGTGTTGCTTGCAAAATCATTTTCAGGATCAATGAGAAAAGGAAGAATAGGGTAAGAGGAGGAAGGGAAGTTTGGGAAAAGGTTGGAGTCATATGTGGAAGAGAACATCTGCAGATTGGAACCAATTTCAGTGGGTGAAAACCCTAGCTATTGTGCAATGAGTAAAAAGATCACAATTATAACACAGAGGTAGCTTCTCTGCTCCTACTTAACGGTCCAAGTACAGTCCTACTACTCTTATATAATCATTTTCTGAGATTCCCCATCTCTATCTTTGAAAGGAGACTAGCCACTAAGTCCTAAGTACTATCATGACCATTTAAGAATTATTATTTATTTATTTTTCAGTGAAGTGGGTGTTGTTGAGGAAAATGAGGACAACGGAAAGGGAGATTTAGTTTAGGCCAATGAAGTACTTTGATCATAGTTTCATTTATTTTGTGAATACAACTATATTATTACCAATCTCGATTAGGGCAGAGGGAGAAAATATGGCTTAACTATCATGACAGCACATTGATAAAAAAAAAAAAAGGACACATAATTTTTTGGTTTGACCATATTCAATAAACATCATGTTCAACACCTGCTCATTTGTTCAGATGGAATTGCTCCTAAGTCTTCCAAACAAAGTCTAACGTTTCTATCTTATAAACACACAAAAATAATGATCTTCAATTTTTTATAGAGATTAGTCATTAAAAACTAGTAGATACTTTATATTGAGGTCATGATAACCCAAAAATAACATCATATATTAAAGATCGTCGACAGTGTTACACAAAAAAATAATTTAAATACCTAACACAAGTATACTTTAAAGACGAATGCAATACTGCATAAAAGAATACCAAAAGAAAGTGAAAATAGAGAAGAGTCGTATAGGGAAGAAGTTGAACAAGAAAAAGTGCTTAATCACTTGGGGATAGTTTGGCTTAGCTTAGAAATTTGGTGGTTAATTGAAGTTGAAGTGAAGTGTTATAGAAATGAAAAAGTGAATATAGCCCTAACATTGTGGATCTTGTTATGATGGGTTTTATCCAAAAGGTAATGAAGGTTTGAAGATGAGTCGTACAGGGATTGTAAAGGTAGGTGAGAGGCTGTAATAGCTTCTCAGCTGTTTCTTCCGTAAAAACTAAACCGCAAATATACAAACTCGTCAGGAAAAACACAATAACATTTTCATTTTCTGAAAAGCTGAAAACAGTACAAATTGACTAAAACCTTCGTGTTCTTTTTTAATGCGCCCACATAACTTCATTTCAATCCCGAAGAAAGCTCATTCATCTCTGACAGCGATTGCAGCTTCCCTCGGATATACATCATACTCCTTCTATTTTATTTTCTTCCCTTTTTTACGACTTTTGTTTTTATTTTACTGCTATTTTTATATTTCACAACAATATTAATTATTATTTTATTATTATTTATATTCTAATTATTCACTTATCTTTTAATTCATTTACATGGATATATTTATTTTACTTTATAAAAAAAACTTTATGAATATTTTATGAAAATAAAAAACTCTCAAACCATACTTAAAAACAATAATATGTCAATTATAATATTTAGTATATGGATATGCAGGTGCTTAAAAAAATGACATTTAATTTTTTAGTTATTATCATGTTATTTACCACTTTAATTGGAATGTTTCCAGACTTTTTAGTGGTTTAGAATTTTTTATAGTATTATAAATTTTACAAGGAAAAATAAATTATATAAATAAAATTAACTTTCAATTTGAATATTTTACCACAAATAATTAATAAGGAAGCACTATTAATAGGTAAGCTTGCTTGTCAAATTAGAAATACAAATTAGTTATTATTGTAATTCACTATACTTATATTTATTACATCATTAATATTTTTATAAAAACTATAATTTTAATTTATTCATTCTTTGAATTATAATTATATTTCATTATTTATGCCAAATTTTATTTTTTTTAAATACAAGAATAAGATCATAATTAAATTATTTACATTTATACATTATTTTAATAAAAAATACATTTCCTTTTGGGATTATGTTAAATTAAAGTCGTATCTTCTCTAGTTTTAATGAAATGATGTTTATCTCTCTTATTTTATTTTAAAATAAAATATGAAATAAAAATAAATAAATATGATAAACATTTTTTATAAAAATATTTAATTTTTATATTTTAAATAATTTTTAATTTTCAATTAAATTTTAGTCCATGTATTGCTTTTCAATAAAATAAGATGACAAGTAATAGTTTATTAAAATATAAAGGAGATGAATGTCAGTTTATGAAAATACAAGTGAAATATGTTTTAAAAAATTAGAGGAGTTTTTATTGCATTTTATTAAAAAAAATATGAATGTCTATTTTAAAAATAAAGAGTGTGAATATCATTTAGCATAACAATAAATTTAATTCTTTTCATTATTTAAAAAAATATTTATTACGTTAACTTTATCATTGCATCTATATCTTTAAACATTCAATTAGAATAAAATACTTATTTAATATTTTATTAAAATATCAATAATTAAAGTTGTAAAAGATTTACTAAATACATATTTAAATTTTATTAAAAAACCAATTATAAATTAAACTCTTATATTAAATAAATATGAGAAAGTTAATAATTTATAAGTAAAAAATGTCTTATAAATTGAATGTCTTAATACGATATCACATAAGTATTTTCCTATATTTAGTTCTCTTAAAAAATACTCAACCCATTTTCTATCACAAGTCAATTTAATTTGCTAACATATCTCATTGCTAAATTATAAAACTAAATAATGATAATTAAAATATACTTTATAATATATATATATATATATATATATATATAATACATAATTTATTACGTAAAATCAATTCATAATTAATACATATAATTTAAAATATTATTATGCATATAAAATATAAATAAAAATAGAGTTACCGAAACAAGTTAAATTAAATTAATTAATTGAACAGATGCACCTTGGACACATATTGATCTACGTTGATCTATTTGACAATCAACTTAAAAATGAATTTAACATAATCCACCACTGATTGTTAGTTAAATAGGTCAGTCTATCTTAAATTACTTTTTTTTATTTTGTAAAAGAAACTGTTGTCTTATAATCTTTATATATACAATTTATGAAAAAGAAAGAGATTAACATATTCTAATCTTTATATTTTTTTTGCATTCTCATTATTTTATTTTAAAATTCAATAAATCTAAAATGATTTCATCTGAATTATGAAATTTCAAGAAAATAAAATGTGAAGATTAAAAATAATATTTAACCCTTAGATTCCTTCTCATATAAAAATGAAGCTTTTCTAATAAATATTAAATATTTTAGACAATAAACTAAATATATCATAATAACTCCTTATCCAATTTTCATTAACTCTAAAATTTTCAAGTTTTAATTTTTATTCATCAACACTAAATTTAATTAAAATAGTCAAAATAATTTTAGTTTGATGTTTAGAACTTTGAGAACCATGGATAACAAACTTTTCTAGTAGAGTCCTTCGGGGATAACCACATTCAAAATAACTTCCTAAAAAAATCAAAGCACACCAGTTCGACCAATATAATTAAGATCATTCATTAATTTGTTCTATTTGTTAATGCTTTACAACCAAATACATCACCCTTTCTATTTTCTTTTAATTCATCTACCATGGAAATCGATAAATGATTTTTTTATAGGCCAAAATATTCAATTAAAAAAATTATAAAGTTAGTTTTAAAAAATCAACCAAATAAGATCAAAATCGATAAATATTTGTAAGAAAACTTGGTTTGTTTATAAAAAATTATGAATATAATTTTACTTTCATTTTACAAAAATTAATATGAAGAATTTCATTTTTTTAAATATAATTTTTTTATTGTTAACAAATATTTACGATTAAAAAATCATTAACTAGTAATAGATTTAGAGAAAAAAATCTATCATTATATATAGAAAGTCTTCAAATTATGCTATATTTTTATTTAATATATTTCTAAACTAGATATTAAATTAGTTTTAAAGTAATATTTTACTTAATTTTAGTGTTTGATCCATTTAATTTAAAGACCATTACTTTAATTTATATAAATAATGTTTTTTTAGTATTTTCTGTATATGTTTTTAAAACTTAGAAATATAATGTTTTATTGAACACTAATTATTTAATTTATCCTGCCGTATTAAGAGATAATTGTTGTAAAGTCACAATAATATTTCCCTTAATAATCATATGTGTTAAATTCATATCTTAAATTTAATACTAACTGTAAATCGAATGTTCAATATTAAGTTAAAAATTATAGTTAATAGTCAATATTTTTTTAAAAACATAATTATTTAAATTTTAAAGTCGAGTATGATTTAAACCATTTTTTTATAATGAATAAGTCCTACCCATCATACATACAGGGACAGATACAAAGGAGGGCGAGCATGCCCCGACCCCTTCCTCTTTTAAATATTTTATATATATATATATATATATATATATATATATATTATATTTCATTTATATATTATAAAAAATGTATATTAGAAATAGTAAAAAAAAATTTCAAGATTTATCTCAAAAGTTTGGTGTGTTAGTTTATATATTATAATATAATAAATTTATTATATTATATAATATTATAAATGAAAAAGTTAATGAAGTTTATATAAGAAATTAACTTTGGCTTCTATCGTAACCAGTAAGCTAAGAGAAATTGGTAGTTTTATATTTTTTATTTTTCATTTTTAAGTTCTAATCATTCTTCTGCATGTGTGTTTGGTTTCAAGACTATAGATTCACGTTTACTTAACGATGAAGTTGTAACTTCTGCGTTGGACCTGTCTATATTAAAATTTCAATATATTTCCAAACACACATTAAACTAGTGTGTTATTCTCCCGTTTGAATATTTATTATCAAAGTTTATTTCTTTTTTCCGTTAAAACTATTTTTGGATCCATCCCTGCATACATATAGGGATGACAAAAACGGGTCAACCCGTCCCGTTTTGGCTCGTCCCGCCTTTGGTCCGCCAAAAGCGGGGCGGCGCAGGCTGACCCGTTATAGTTATGATGGGTTATAGACCTTGACCCACCCGCCATGAGGCGAG